GATCATGTAAAACAGGAGAATTTTCTACAGGCATTGCAATTTTACAGAAAAAAAGCTGAAAAATAAATTTTAATAAGTATTTGCAAGCATATTTTTTTCTTATTTTTGCTTGTTGTGTTATTGATGTTAACCATGATTCTTGAAGCATTAGCACTGTTGTAAACTGAAGTTCTACACTAGCCAAATATCAGATATTAGGAGGTGAATTAGTTTATTTATGTTGTTTGATTGTTGTATTGAAAAAGATAACTTCCATTCTCAGAATTTGACTTAATTTCTATATGCAGTTGTTGTACTAAATAACAACAGATCTATAATTTCATCTTCCTATCATTCTCCATCAGGTGACAACAGATGCAGTAGGAAGGGTATCGTTCCTTCCTGCACATACCCATGTCCTGTAACAAGGAGAAAGAGCAAACCTTTAAGAGATCAAGGTTTAATAGAAACTTCCTGTTGGAGCTGATCGTTCCAGATTTATCTTTAGTGGAAATTTTGTCATTTACCTGAAAACAGCCAGTATTGCCAATGCATAGAAACACAACATAAGGATCCTAGTATACATTGCCATTACTTCTGAGTCTGAACCTGAAAGTTCAAAGAAAATCTGTAATCTGTAAAAGTTAACTTTTATCGTCTTCCGACTGTGTTTCAAAGCCATGGACATTTCCATACAGGCTTTAAATATTCCTAAGCATAGAGTGAAAGTAAGAAAGACAGAAATGGTTGAAAAAAGTTCAGATCATATAAAAAATATTTCAGCGAACAATACATAATAAAGAGTGTTAAAAATTGTATATAAACATTTTATGTGGTGATTATATGTGGATTGTGAGAGTTTAAATGAAGGAAACTCATTTCAAACAGACTTTTAAAATATTTTTAGTCTCAAAGTCTACTGAGTTCACTGAGAACCTTGGTACTATTAGCCCATCCATTTTAACACCTTCTCTGTTATTACACCTCTGTTATTACACACCTTGGTGTAATAACTTCTACGGCCAACTCCTCTGCTATGTTGTGTCAGAACAAAACTGGCTTCCCAGCCTTCAATCATACAGAATATACATTGCCCAAAGGCTGAGGGATGGAGGAGAGTTGGGGCTGCATAATGCTCCTCAACTTCCCACCTGTTTAGGTCTCCTACATTCTCTGGCACTGCCTAAAGCTGCAGATTTTTGTCACCTACTTTTCACTCAGGAATCTAGCACCCATGCAGAACAACTTGTGATCAGGTTGTGAATACTTCCAACCTCATAGTTGTGCCATTATCCCATGGCTTGGAAAATCTGTTTGATGTCATTTGACTCAGCAAGGGCTTTTCCACGTGATTTAAGGCATGGTATTAAGAAGCTGTGAAAGTAGTTTTTTGTAGCTATGCAGGTGATAACTTCAAAGCACTGAAAATAGAAGTAGGCAGAAGGAAGAATTATCTCCCAGGATTCTAGCAGCTCTGATGGGTATGGGAAAGTGTGACTGTCAATAATGTTATAATGAATAACTCCTCAATGTTTTCAGGGTACCTGTTGCAAAGCAAAGACCTGAACAAAGTCAAGCTTGCACATGGCAGCTGCAGATACCATGTTTACACCTGCAGCAAACAAAATGGTATATATTACTTTAAGTCTTACCATGTAAGACTTAAGTTAGACAGAGCTACATGTGTCTGATCTCTTAATCTGTGTTTCAGACAAACTTTTGCACACACAGGAGCCTAAGTGATGCTCTGAAGTCTTGTGTTAGACTATTTCCTAATTTTCTGAACTGTCAAGTACTCAGTAGCTCACCATAGCTTCTTTAGACATATGGCTCAAGTCTCAGCAAAGATACTGTGTAATCTATCTGAAATTTTGTTTCCTTTCTTTTCCTTTTTATTAGTATTATTAATCATGAATTATAGCTGTTAATTCACAATCCAGAATGTACCTAGCAAAGAATTGAAGTAACTGTGACCTTGGAGGCATGCATGGCTGTACAGTTGCCATATTAATAGGTTTTCATAGAGTCATACCATTTTAACAACAGCAGATTGTGGATGGATATACAACACCATGAAGTATTGTGTCATAGGATACAATTACTGAGTCCCTTAAGGACACTGTATACCAGATCATGATACTGGTTAGATTCATTATTGCTAGTGTCATTATATGGGGTTTAGAGAAGTCTTCACATGATTAAGTTCTGTGGCTTTTAAAGTATTGTTGCTATAGCCAACTCTTTCAACATGCTGTTAGGTACGAGCACTTCATTCTTCCCCTGTTTAATATTAACTATAATATCATGTAATAAAATTGAAACAAAAGTGCCATAGGCCTAATTGCACTGTCACAGCCATGTAAATCAGAAATAGCTTCAGTAAAGCTACTGTTATTATGCTGGTGTAAAATTGATGTAAATTAGAAGTGACTTGGATCCTGTAGCTCTGCTTTCAGATAGCGCAATGTGAAGTTCTCACTTAAATACTCACATAATGGCTTATGAATTAAATACCCCTTACCTCATCAAATTATATGGTATTGTATCAAAAATGAACTGTATTTATAAGGAATGACATAATCAGATAGATTGAGGTAAGATAATGTTATGGGGCCAAGTTCTGAGCTGTGTTGACTTCCAGAAAGTTAATGCAGAGCTGTATGGATTGGCTGCCAGCAGTATATAACTTACCATCATGCATAAAAATGAATTGTTTTGCTGTTACACAGTGTAAAGTAAGAACTCTGACTTTAGGTAGGACTTTATTTATTTATTTATTTTTCTGATATGTTAGCCTAATGAACAGCATCAAAAAGGAAATGTGTCAGACATGTTGGTTACATCAAGAACTATGTAGGAAACTAGTAATGAAGTCGAGGAAAATAAATAGGGCAAGTTCAGGAAGCATAAGTGAAAATGCAGCTCTGGTATAAATTGAATAATAAAATTCCTGGTCATATTTTGCCCTAAATAGTGGTTTGGGAATTTGTCATTCACCTTATTTAAAATTCAGAAATATTAAAGGTACAGGGTTCTCTCATTATAGAAGTAATAGAATTCCAGCTATTACAGAGTTAGGGTAATTTACATTGCTATAGAATGCATTATATCAATAAGTGGAACATCTGTATGAAATGTCCATCTGCTGATATACTACTGAGTGTACCTTACAGTGAAATGTACTTAATCATTTTAAGACATCTTCTAATGAAGTCTTATCATGATTAGCATTTTGAACACAAATACTGTTAGGCATTAAAACTTTTGCCTTAAATGAGATTGCATTGTCTTGTTTACCCTTGTTGATTAATAAGCAATCTGTTAACTGTTAGAACAGCCCAGTTCTGCCAGTGAAAGTAAATTAGTAATTCAGCTATGTTTGTAGGGTTTAATCATCATTTCTCTTGAAGGCTCTGAATTAAAAAAAAAATCACTTCAACCCTATCTGTAGGCAAAGGATATGTATTTTTTAGATGTGTATACTACTCTTTTGCACCTAATGCTATTGGTCAAGTGCATATTTTCATTACCAAAATACTGTGTATATGTATAATATTTCTAAGTAGATTTCCTGATTTTTAATCCACAAATGTTACAAAACTTTGGACTTTAAATACACTTGCTACAGAATATTAACTCCTTTTCTGGTAAAGTTCAGGTCAGCCAATGGTTTTGAAAAACTTTGAGAACTCTGCTCTGGTGGCTAGCTTTCATTTATTTATTTGTTTGTTTGTTTATTTATTTATCATTTTTAACTCCAGTTAAAGGAAAATACCCTGTCTTCATAAAAGATGGTAGTTGAGATTTTCTCATAGGGCCATGCACTTTCATCTGTGGCATCCCACAGAGGGAAACAGATGTTAGCAAGTTATAATTTAAATTATCTGGAAGGTTCCCATGTGTAGAGCACAGTTCTGTTAAATTCAGGAGTAGCACTGGCCTCTGATAATAGCTGTGTACTTGAACTATGTGATGCTATAAAAGTGTGGAGCCTTGGAAGCTGGGCTGAAGCTGTCATCCTCAGAAGTTTTTGTGTTTTGTGTACCCTACTGTTATAGATATTATAAAAACACATTGTGAGGCAATAAAACCCTGATCTGATGTTGAATGACTATAAAGTGCAATTGTATTTGTAGACTAAACTGTGTTCAAAGTCATCCCATGCCATTAACTGCTTCCGGGTGGTAGATCTCTCTTTCATTTTGGCATGTAAAATGCATTATTTATATAGCTATTCAATAGGACTCTCAGTGTAGTTATATATGTAGTTTTCTGGCATACAACCAGCCTATTCCAGTTTCTATCAATATTCAGTAATATTAGGACTTAGTGACTGTCCCATCATGCAGTTTACGTCAGACTGCATTCTTTGTGGCACTGGAATCTGTAGGATGAAATAAATGCTATGAATAACCCATTTTTGAGAAGGACAGTTATCGTAGTATTCCTAAATTTATCTGAACATAGAACTACCCTGGAAATGATTTTATGACAGCAAAAACCATCTGTAAAGGATTTTGTAGTAACGTCTTTACTCTTCTTCCTGAAGGTTTCTCCTATGACAGGGTATAGATGAACCATAATTTCTATTTGTTTTTGTTTTCTTCTGAGAGGCATATATATGTGTGTATACACACAGTATATATGTATTCTCATTTTATGAATAAAATTTTTTTCCCCATTTTTTTCCTGAAAAATTTCTGATGTTGATTGCTGTCAGGGTAACTCATTTCAGATGTGTCTCAGCTGAATGTAAAAAAGGAAGAATAAACCAGTCTACACCATAAAACTTTCAACATTATTGAGATAGTTAGCTATGTATGGCATTTGTTTGAAGACTGAAAGTAGCTTTATTCCTTATGTGCAATTAAGATTGTGTTTATCTTGAAATAAACAGTAATCTTTGACATTAAGAATGGGAATTTATGGAAGAGCTGAAGAATTGTTAGAACCAGTATCTATCAGATAAGAGTTAATATAGAATGTCCCACCCTGACATTTGTCATCTGTCTGTTCTGCAGTCCCTATGCTGTGAGATCAAGCAGAGACGCCGTGGGGTTGCCTCTGTGCTGCGGCTGTGCCAGCACCTCCTGGATGACCAGGAGACCTGCAACCTGAGTGCAGATCACCAGTCCATGCAGCTGATAATCGTAAACCTTGAGAGGAGGTGGGAAGCCATTGTCATGCAAGCTGTCCAGTGGCAGACAAGGCTACAGAAGAGACTGGAAAAAGACCCAGTGAGTGATGCTTGGTTTAAAAAGATCTCATGTAATTTCACTTTACGCTAGCCATTTAAAAAGATCTCATGTAATTCCATTTTACATCAGTCATTGTTTCAGTGCTAGGCAAGTACTGAGTGTTTTCTTCTGACTGATGGTGCTGTTCCTAGTCTCTAATGACAAGTGAAGTTTTAGTTTTTCACAGAGTGTTATAGTCTACGGACACCACTAGTTAATAAGATAAATTCACAATATGTGTGTTCTATTTGCTGTGTATTTAAATCTCTTCTCATCTGATTCTGTTGAGTAATGAAAGCCACCTTCTTTTGAGATCAGTAAGTTGCTCAGTACCAAAGAGAATTGGGCTCAGAGACATATATCATTGATTGTAAATATATTTCAGAAAAAGTATTTTCTTTGTAAGTATGATTGGTTTTAATTAGTATCCCAGCAGTAGATCTGTATTTCACATAGAATGCCATGGTATGTGATTAATATACAAATCTGTGTTATTTGAATTTAAGTAAAATGCATTAATTTCCCTTTTATCTCAGGGAAATGATTCCTCAGAGGCAAAATAGCACTCTGCTTAAACTGTCCATTAAGTGACAGGTTTTCTACAGCATAAAACTATATTACGGTGCAGTATCCACATTCAAACAATAAACCATAGGGGGGACAAAGTAATCCCTACTGTAACACCATTGACTGTAATGGATGAATTGGCTCAGCATGTTCTGTGGCACTATCATAATGCCAAAGACTGTATGCTGCAGCTACGCTGACAGCAATGATAACCCTCTGTAATGCATGTATTGAGGAGCCTTGATGAGATTTGAGAATAAGTGACATTTTTGCTTATATAATTTTTAGGTTTATATAAAACAAATAAAAGGCAAAAATACTTGATATGTACTTATTTCCTGACAATTGTCTGACTAGCAGCTAAATACTACTTTTGACTTAGTTTTGTTCCTTTAAAAAAAAAAACAGAAGCTGTATTTCTCTGGGAGTTGTTCGTGTTAATGTAGTATTAAGATATACAAGATATCATTCTGAAAAAAATGGCAGTTCTTGAATGAAAATACTATCAATCTGAACTAGCCAAGAAATAGTGAGTTGGTGAGGAGGATGCTGTAGTGTTGAAGGTAATAATAGGAGAAATTTTAACAGTACATTCACCTTTAAATGAGAGTGTAAGAAAGAGAAGACAAATGCTGTCTCACTGGTGAGATAAGATTCCTGAGTTTTGATGGTAGTGAATCTAGGAGGGCGAGAAATAAGAACAGAAGTGAGGGAAGTCAAAGGCAAAATAGTGGTTTAGAATATGGGTTTGAGACTGAAGAACAGAAAAAACTGCTGAAGAAGGAAAACAAAATAGCAAATATTTTTTTAATTGAAAAATGTAATTGGTATTCTATTGAGAAACACCAGTTTTGTTAATGTGATAGTTCCATCTTTGAAATTTTTTTTTTTTTTTATATTACTCAGATGTCAATAGCTCTAGTAAACTGTTGGTTAGTGCTGTGCAAAAGATTTATTTGTTGAGCCAGTAGTAGAAAAACTACGTGAATTTTGAAGCTTCAAGAACACATATGTGAGGTATTGGGCGATAGCTAAAAATCAGTTCTTGCAATTCTGAATTTGGGTTGCTATAAGTTGAGACTCTGCTAAGTCTGTAACTACATTGATTGCTCCAAAAGTAATGCCTCCTTATTTAATTCCATGTGTACTACAGTAGACAGATACAAAGAGCACAATAATCTATTAAGTAGATTAAATTCTCAGCTACAAAACACAGTTTTTCAAAATAGTCACCACCATTAGTCAATTTGTGTAGATGAGCTTATCAAGATATTCTTCATTTGGTGGTGTAAAAGATGCACATAGCTGTCTGGAATAAGGCTTGTCTTTCACATCAGTGTCGCCACTACACAGCTCACTGCCTCATTATGCTCAGTGTGCTGTGCACTATTGGGTCTCCATAAGCATTCCAAAAGCATCAATAAATGTCAACAGATGCAATTTTTTTTCTGCATGGAAGAATTCAGTGACGCACCATTGCTTCAAACACACTTCCATGTCAGACGCCATTTTGTCAGACTGCCCTTCTGCTGCCATCTGTTACACAGCAACAAAATTTAACAGAATATTGTGGGAAGACTCAGCCTGTACTGCCATACCACCAACATCTGCCTCTGAGTTCATGGACCGATATAATAAAATAGGAGGTATTACTTTTGTAGCAGTCCTTTTAGTTACCCAAAAGAGATTGAGCTGGGTTTTTACTGTACTTATCTGAAAGGTAAGGTACTACAAAGATTAAAATTACCTTTTTCATACAAAACTTACAATTTTGTTGTTACAAATATATCTGTTCTATTGAGTGTGGAACACCAAAAAAGTTGCATTTGTGAGGTAGCTTCAAGAGGGGCTGAACAGAACTCCAAGTTGTTGTAATGAAAGCCTATTATCTCCTCTTGCATGTGGGCAGCTCATGGAGACAGTTTGCTCACTGTAGCTGCAGTTACTCTAAATAAGCTGTAATGTGCTAATTAGAGCTTAGTGCTGTTCTTACAGCAGGAGTGAAGAGCCTTGTGTTACTGTGTGAGACTGCAATCGATCAGGAGCTGAGGCATGGTGTTCAAGCACTGTATTTTGCTTGATGTCCCAATGCTTGGAACTTCACAAGGTGCATGCTGCTTCATTCCACCTTTGCCTGAGGGAGTCTGGAGTTATTTGCTGGTCTGAACTGTTCTTCATTGTGCAAGGGGGGAACCATTCTTTCTGCTAAGAAACAGCAGCCATTAACTGCCATTGTGATGTGATACTCATTTAATTTACACTGAGCTGTTTTGCTCTTATTCTAGTCTTGTTTATAATAATATGATTCTTTGAGTGTGTCAACATCTACAGATTTCTCATGTTGATAAAACTGTTTATATTCCCAACACTTACGGATGCCACAGCCACTACAGAATTCAGGTTCCTTTCTCTTACCTGGTTTGAGTTGGCATATTCTAGACTTCCTTTTCATTCAGTTCCTGTGTAGTCATTTGTTGGGTAGGTACCAGGATTACTAGTTCTGCTTCCCTATCTCTCTGTATTTGATAGTGTGCCAGTCTTGGCACTTAAACAGTATCTCTTACTAACAAGTCTTCATTTGTGATTGCCCACAAAATACTGTAATTTATGAAAACAAATGATGAGATGATTTTATAACTTCATGGCATCCGAACTCATTCATGGCATCCAACTTGCTGATAGTACATAAGATAACCCTAATTATTATATTGCATTAAAGAGGTGCAAAAGTCATTTGCATCTTCTGCTCTCTTTTTAATTTGTGTACTGGGATCTTTCTTTATCCTGTTTCTGTCCCCAGTCACTTATCTGAGCCACTTATATCATTACAGAAGCATGGAATTAACGACAAAGAGGTTTTAGGTTTCTTTTGAATTGTTTGTCTTCACTGATGTTTTTCAATGTTCCTCAGCCTTTTTGTTTTGTTTTGTTTTTTGTTTTTTGTTTTTTTTTTTTAAATTCTTTTCCCCCAGATTTATCATTCCATAGTTTGCTGGTATAATGTTATCTGACAACTAAATTTTAGCTTCAGAGTTACACAGATGCCTTTCAGTTTACCTAACAAGACCCTGCTGGCAATCATTGTAGAAGAAAAAGGAGTCTGTCTGGCAATTGCAACAGCAATAGCAACAGTCTTTTGTCAACTAAACTGAAAACTGCCATCAGAAATTCCTACTCAGCAGTTGGAGAAGCTTTAACTCACTGTGCACTCTCCTTTGGAGGATCTGGTCTACATGAAAGAAAACTGAACAGTTAAAAATGAATTTGGGACAGCATCTGTCATGGTCATGCCAACAAGTTTTCATCAGCTAATTCAAAGTGGGAATATGTAAGTTGTTTTAGGCAGTATTTTTGATCATTTGCTTAGCCAATTGGTATATTCAGTTTAAGTAAGCATCTAGCCTCAGTGCATTATTACAGCAGTCATGATATTCACAATTTGATGTCCTATCCAAGTCAGATATATCTCTGTACAGGAAGCCACAATGATGTTGCTCTGTGTATTCACTTTTCTGGAACAGCTTTGTCAGTACTGGAATACGTAAAACTGCTGTGGCTCATAGAGAGACAAAAGTGTGTTTTCTAATAGATGTTATTTCTTAAATTGCAATTCAATTCCTGCCTTTTTGAGGACCAGAGAAACTGCTTTTTCTCCAGACTGTTCATTCACTGAATGAGAAAGATATCAATTTTATGGAGCGCACAATCTCTTTTCTTATTCAACAGAGGGCTAATTATTGAAGGGACAGTATTCATAATGCTTTTAAAATGGAGACTTTGAGTGAAGATAATTTGGATTAAGGTGCTGTAATTCTCACATTGTCCAGAAAGTGTCTGAAGTATTCATTGGTTTAAGTCTACCACTATGCTTCATGAAATTTTGGAAACTTTTATTTCTTTTTTCCTCCTGAGTCATCCTCTATGTACACTACACTATATGTCCAGCAAAACCCCCATCTGTATTGGCTGGAAAGTATGCTACACATCCAACCACATAATTGAAAATAATAAGGCCACAATAAATGGGGTGGCCTTGGGGTATAACACCCAAGGGATTCAATTGATGTCGCTTTGCATCAATATCCATGCATCATGGTAATTGAGGTAACATAACCAATTACCACATTTTAATTAGAGTTGTAAGGACTTGGGAAAATCTGCAATGGTAAAGCAGCTCACTTTAAAAAAAAAAAAAAAAAAAAAAAAAAAAAGCAAAACCCAAACCTCTCTCTTTACCACAAGTTTGTTTCTTATGTGCTTGTTTCATAAGGGGAACAAAGATTCTGTAAAGCCCTGTTTAGTATTTTTCCCAGCTTTCTCTTTATTTCATTCTTTACAACTGACTTCGAAAAACAAGTCATTTAAACATACTATATTGGTTCTGATCAGGTATCTTTACCCTTTTCTCTCTTCATCTGTTTCTGTAATGTTTT